TCTAGAATGTCAAAATATGTTTTCTTTTTATTTTAATTTTGATGCTTCTACTGGAAATGTACTTCAATAGAGCATGTATGATATGATTCTTTATGGTTTTCTATCTACTATTGTTGAATCAAAATGCTCTCATTATAATTTACAGATTACGTAGAAGAGCTCTTCAATACACTAGACTTGTATGTTGGAGGAGATTGTGTATTACATACACTTGATGATGCACCCCTGCCACTCAACAGCCAGTATGCCCACCCTGACAAAGTCTCGGCAGTTCATTGCCACACTACAAGATTCACATAACAGTGTAAATACATTTCCAGATGCTGCAACAATTATGCTAATAAAAAACAGGCTACGTTACACAGTTCACAAATTTTATTTAGACTTGTGATGAACAAAGAAATATGACAATGTAAACATTGGATTGTCTGTACATGTATGTGAGGAAAATAATGTGAATAAAATATAATTTGTACATGGATTACTATTACTATAGTATATGGTTTTAATTGAGTGACACTGTGTGACAATGAAAAAAGGAAACACATCTTCAGATTTTGGAATCTATGAAAAACCAAGATTTGGTAATTTAAGTCCTAAATAATTCTCTGACATAAATATTGATAAATCTGTTACTGCTCACTCTGGTAGTACTGTAGTCTTTTTCAAGGAACTTCAAGTATCCCCTCGTTAACCTGTGGAGGTTTAGAAAATAAATAAGGTCACAATCTTTATTTGGCATTTGTTTATACGTAATTCATTCGTTTTATGATGCATCTTTTTTTACTATAATAAAGGCAACTATTATTATGTTATATATGTGTTTGAATTATGGATGAAAAAAATATTGAACACATTTACAATTAGTACATAAGTATAAGCAATTGCCACCCAATCCTCTCAAACGATTATTCAAAAAATAATTAAATTTTTTTTCTTCATTTTCTTTTCATAATAATATGTCAATTTTATTTCACCAAACATTTTTCAAATTTACGTTTAAAATTTTGAAACTTGCGGATGTAATGCACACCCGCGCTTCGTGTGAAGGGAAGCCAGGTCAAAACATTGGGCATTTTACGTGTGTAGAGCAGCCCACAGAGACGTCGGCCGATCCCAACAACCATATCAGAAATTGTTGATGGTGGAAAAAAATAAGAGTTTCATTTGTGCAAAAAAAAAAGTAAAACGCCGATGACATTCGGGCCACACGAGACACTCACGCCTTCGACCATGAACGAAAATCCAATATATGGATGCCAATGCACGTTTGAACGAAGCAGGCAATATTTCTGAGGAAATTCGCGATCTAAGTTTATCGAGCATAATAAAGAGTTCACACATACCTCTTTGAAATTATCGATAAGATATTTTATAAAGAGTAGTAAGCTCAACTAGAACAAAAAAAACTAGAACTTCTTACCATGGATGTAAGTACATCCATGTTCTTACCGACTCGAAAGTTGTCCAGTGCCGAGGTTCAGCGATAGTTTACAAACGTGCGCCGGGGACGGTGACATCACTGCGACCAGCCACACCAGAACGGACATATCTCGCATCTAACTCAACCCCATGCAACAAATTTGATATCCAAGTGTTCATTATGGCCCGTTCTTCCTCGACGAAAAAGTACATAAGTGACAATTTAGTCAAAGACGAGAAAACTGCACAAGAAATTTGCCTTATTTACACGTATCGGCAATGCGAGCTGCCCAGCAACTTCCCTTTCTGACGTCACAAGGAGAATTTCTGTATGGCAATGAATAGCTAATGAGGAGCCTCGTTTTCAAATACAAAAAATAAAGTTGCTGTAGACTAAGTTTAAAACACATTTTTTCACTTAAAAAAAATAATTTATGCTTAGAAACATAAAAATTAATAATATTTATGTATCAATTGATAATTTTAGACGTGAAAATAGCAGCCATTTCACAGGCACTAAATATAGGAAAATAAGTACTGATACAATTTTAAAATTACGTCATAATGTGCTTAAATTTTTCATACATAAACAAAATGAAGCGTTTAGGCATAGAGTGAATGATCTGGACACAAGTGTTTTATGTTGGCTAATATAAAACATTAAAATAGAAGGGGACACCCGGGTTCGAACCAGGGACCTCTCGATCTGCAGTCGAATGCTCTACCACTGAGCTATATCCCCACATGATTAAAAAAAATGTAGAAAAATAACGACTGATACTATTTTGAAATTACGTCATAATGTGCTTAAATTGTTCATACATAAACAAAATGAAGTGTTTAGAATAGAGTGAATGATCTGGACACAAGTGTTTTATGTTGGCAAATGCATAACATTAAAATAGAAGGGTACACCCGGGTTCGAACCAGGGACCTCTCGATCTGCAGTCGAATGCTCTACCACTGAGCTATATCCCCACTTGTTTAAAATAAATATCGGAAAATAACGACTGATACTATTTTGAAATTACGTAAAAAATGTGCTTAAATTGTTAATACATAAAAAATGAAGTGTTGTTCGGCATAGAGTGAATGATATGAATACAAGGGGTTTATTTGAGATATATCCCCACATGTTTAAAATAAATATAGGAAAATAACGACTGATACTATTTTGAAAGTACGTAAAAAATGTGCTTAAATTGTTCATACATAAACAAAATGAAGTGTTGTTCGGCATAGAGTGAATGATATGAATACAAGGGGTTTATTTGTGCTAATATACAACATTAAAATTAAAGGGGACACCCGTGACCTCTCGATCTGCAGTCGAATGCTCTACCACTGAGCTATATCCCCCACATGTTTAAACTATATATAGGAAAATAACGACTGATACTATTTTGAAATTACGTAAAAATGTGCTTAAATTGTTCATACATAAACAAAATGAAGTGTTGTTCGGCATAGAGTGAATGATATGAATACAAGAGGTTTATTTGTGCTAATATACAACATTAAAATTAAAGGGGACACCCGGGTTCAAACCAGGGACCTCTCGATCTGCAGTCGAGCTCTACCACTGAGCTATATCCCCACATGTTTAAAATAAATATAGAAAAATAACGACTGATACT